AGAGAAATGTTACTTTTTCAAATTATCCTTACTAATAATCTAAATGCGAAAGTAACTTGGTTTGAAACCATTTAGACAAAATTTGGTATGAAAAAAGTATGAGACACTAAACGAGATTTTTCTTCAGAGCGACAGAGATATCATACGAATCAATAATTAGTTTTAGAAACCAAATAATTAGATTTTATGTCAATTTTAATAGAATGTAAACTTAAAGAAAAAACTTCTTCAAAATAATCGAATAATTCTTATTCTTGTAAATTCAACAACTCAATTTTTGTTCGGGCGATGATTTGATTGCAAAATTTTTATACTCCTGACTTCAAACGAAATTTAATTTGCCAGTATAAGAATTGTTTTACGATTTTTAGATCTGTCTATTTATCAAAATAAATATTTTTATTATAGGGTTCCTATGTGACAACTACCATATCAAGTTTATTTTGGCGATTGTAGTTCTCCCAGTTTATTTTTTAAACTAAACAAAACTACTCATTTAATTTCGTCAAAGTTTAAATGGGATAATTTCGAGACTTGCAAACAGAAAAATGCAATATCAATATTAATACAGTCAAAACAAGAAAACAGTCAAGTTGACAACCTATTCCTATATTTTTAAGTTGGTTGAAAATAAACCACTGTAAATAAATAATAATACCAAGCAAACGAAGTTGCGGGCAAAAGCTTATTGGTATATAAATCAATAATCGACTAATGAAATTGAGCTACAACATTTCGTCTGCGTGTCCCATTTTGTCTCTGTAACACATATGACATGCCATCGGAAGACGATTTCACTAGTCGACAAGGCCCGCATGCGGGGCGGATACAATATTCCTCTGGTATAACGTTTGTACAATTGACTGGTAACTCTCATTAGTCGTAATAGGAAAATATAATCTCTACCGTACTTCAGCCGATACGTTGAATCACTGCCGCTGGTGCTAATTATATTGAAGTCGTTAACAACCATTAGTTTCATAACTACATAATAAACTGTGGCCAACCAACAGAGCTACTCTGTTAAAACTACAACGTCGAACTTAGTACTTGTGTGACATTAGATATTGAATCAAATAATCTAATGCTATGACTCCTCTGTATTCGAAGCTATTTTAAAGCTACGCGTGTGTGTTTACCCATAAACATTGATTACTGATGATTTCATTTCTAATGTTATAGTGACATAAAACTTCAATATTAAATTACATATAAAGGGACTCCGAATCGTTTTTTCAAAATTTTTACTGAATATTTAAAATTCCTTACTCAAAAAAAATTGTAAGCGTTTTTCCACTCGAGCCAATCCACATACGACGACAGCGCAGTGATTAAAGCCCGACAGTCGTGGGTTCGCCATTTACAAGCCTCTGGCATCAAGCCAAATCGTTTGTGGACAGTTACTGTTCGCGTTTTTACTAAGCCCGTGACTGCAATGGTGTTATTTTTAAATACCAAATAGCATTCATGATGAAATTTTAGTGTTCGATGCGTGAAGATGAAGTAAATGTAATTTGGGTGTAAGAAAACGTGCAGCATGCGACGAAAGGAAAAACAAAAGCGTTCTAGAAAAGACAGATAGTCAAGCAAACAAAGCGAAGGGAGTCTATTATTATATTTAAAAAATGTAATCCCACTGTTTACGACTATCTCTTCTGGTTGAAGAGAAATAACGTCATATCGCGAATGAAAGCTTGTATAGGAGAATATACCAATATAAAAATAAGACCCGATTTAGAGAGACAATCCAGAATTATTGTCTAATACGGGATTGTTAAACAATCATTCTAATGTTAATGACCTTGTAAGAGACAATCTAAATGTAATTATGCAACAGAAAAAGGATGAAGAAGGAGAATAAAGACAAGTGATTGCGCTATGAAAATTAGTAAGTATAGACAAATAGAAGTGTAAGCAGCAAAGGTGGTATGAAATTGTAATAAAATTTAATAAAATACGAAAATGTGTATAGATAACAAGAATAGAATAGTGTGCACCTATAGTAAAAGTATATAAACTAGAGAAATAAAATAAAATTAGATACATGATAAGATATATAGTAGAATTAAAAAGATACAAACAATAAGACAAGGCCAAAGTAATTATGCAGCCATGACTAGGGCTCAATTTATATAACCCACTTAAAAACAAAAGAAAAATCATACATAATCAGGGATTATATTAAGCTCATTTCTTCTCGTTTTTTACATTACGGACAAAGTTTTTTTTTTTTTTTATGCTAGATAGGCAAGCACTTGACCACAGTTTTTCCCTTTCACCCAACTACGTCTTCTGCCAAGCCAGATTTTCGCAATAGGAAAAAAGTATGTCATTTCTAGGTTTGATAAAAAAAAAGAATACCACAACGCAGTCATGAAAGGTTCGTTTAAATTGAGTATGCATTTAGTATGCATCTGGCTTCAAGTGCGATAAATTGCTGTAACTAGGTTTCATTTACCAAAAAATAAAACGAAGCATAAAATTTTAATTAAAAACTTTAGCAAATAACTACTAACGCCATTCCTATTAACCAAACAGTTTAGTCAAAACTTCTCGCAACATAAAACTGAGTCTTTAATAGCACTTTACATAAATTATTAGATTTAAACATCTAAGTGGATAAAAACAGACGTTTCAATTCCAATTACATAAATTCCCGCTTCTTTTGTGAGAAACTTTTTCGTACAATTCTCACTTGAAAACCACTTTTGCTTGTCTTTATTTCCAAGAAATCCACTAAATGGTAATTCTAAGCCAAGATAAACGAGACAGTCTCGTCTAGTGATGTGCCAAACTTTTATAAGATATCCGTGATTACGGATATGAATATCGGTCCTTAGATTCGATCCGTGAATACGATCTTCAAAATTTTTATACAATTGCCGCGTCGACATTGTAATCTCGAAACAAGACTTGTCACTTTTCCTTAACAATACTTTTTAGTGTAACACAAAACACCATTTTTTGTGACACTTTAGTTACTTTATATTAATAAATTATGAAAGAATCACACTAGCACCCAGTTGCACAAGGTTTAATTTGTTTGATGACAACTTCAAGCTCTAAATAAGTAATGTTCTTCAGAAATTATCGGTAATGCCGCTTTAAATTCATGACAGTTTTAACGGATGTTTGTGCAACTGGGTTTTATATTTATAAAAAATAAGATTTCCTTAGTTTATAACAGCAGATTAATTTTCAAAAAAGTGACAAATATATCTATCTCGTTCTCCTTTAAATATCAACGGATATAGATACAGATACGGGTCCGACATATCCCAGATCTCGTTCAAAGGCGGTCGCTTCAAATGCTGTAATTTTAAGAACCTTTTTTGTTTTAAAACTCGAAAGCTAATTGAATTGCTAAATTACTTATTTCGAAGTCAGTACCTCGGACAAATTTTGTCCGGTGATCGGTCAACGGCAATAAATTATTCATTGCAGTGTAAATAGATCTCTGGATTGAAAGGAAAACATTGGTTAAGGGGATATCTGTAAGACTCTCTATGTGGTACGGTAAAATAGACCTTAACTCCTTTAACCTAATCAAATTCACAAGAGTGGGTTATTCTTAAGTAAAACGAAAAATATTCTTGGAAATTTATTGAGAATATTTCAAAGTTACATAAAACATTGACGCAACATTTAACACCTACAATAATTACATTATTTAAATCTCGTAAAGGATTAATAGTTTCAAAAGATTTAAATACAATCATCAAAATAAATGCATTAATATGAATACAATATCATTAATTTTTTATTGAAAAAAAAAAAAATGAATTGGAAGACTACTAATATAAAAACAAAAAATAAACTACGATACAGTAGCTTCAATATTAATTTACTATAAAAGATAAGGAAGACGATATTTGAACAAAAATACGGCATTACAATTACATTTGAGGAGCTATCTCTTATTAATCGAACTTATATTATTCTTAGTTATAAGAATTATTTTAAATTCTAACACAGCCATTACATTATTAGATAAAAGTCATATAGATTAAAAATATTGGGAACTTCTAAGTTTTTTTTATATTGTGGGGACGCTTAATAGTTGAAAAAGTAAATTACTTTTCATATATGATAAGTATACAGTTTTGTATACAAAAGGAAAATGAATTATACAAACTTCTTGAAAAGATACTTCAATATTACTTGTATATACGGTCACTAGCCATAAAAGTCGGTGCAAACCATTCTAAAATATTTTTTAATAACTAACCACCACCATCACCATTTTCGTTAAAAATAAACAAAATCATTGACACGTTTGCCCTCCAAACACATTAGTCTTATAGCGGCAGCGAGCTAATGGGACATCGCCACTACTGCATAGTTCTAATAGCTCATATAGTAGATTAGCAAATTGGATATTCATGACTCTGTTTCACACAAAATGAAAATACACGAAAAAATAAAATACCCATAGAGTACATACAATACCGAATGTAAGTAACAAGATTGAGTAAATAGAATAAGACACTAAACCTAAATTACCTTAAAGTTACTAACTATACGAAATGTCACAGCCGGTTTTGGCTCAACCATATTATAATTAATAATAGATCTAAAGCTACACATTGGCTATAAAGTCTTAACAATTACAAATTTAAAATTATTATTTCAAACATGTAATAAGAAAAAAACAATTAACGCCGAGCATAACATTTTTGGAACTAGAAAACTAAAACATCGATACTTGTTATCTCACCCATTCTCTAAAAGTCATACATCTTGTGAGCCAGCTCAAATATTATAGAGACGATCTCAGAAGTTAATTATCAATTATGTTTTGATCCAAATTATATTACGTCAATACATTATTTTGGTATCCAATCAATGCTAAGCTATTTGACGTGTTATTTTAACATCTATTTTAATTAAACAAAGTGCAAACGAATTGTCATCTTACTAAAGAATGGCTCCACTTATTGTTTTGTGGTTTTATAAGAAAAGATAAAGGTTAATTGCCTTATAGGTGTTTTTTTAACACTCTATGTGGAATCTCCACTGTCGACAGGAAGAAACTGCTGTTGAGCAACGGACGAAAGGATCATATCGATTGGCTTAGTATCGTCGTATAGTGATGGTGCTTCGCAGAGGATCGCGAATGTTCCCACGATGGAGGCTATGGTGAATATCCAGAGGAAAAGACGATCGAGTACCATTGCGACGAAGCCCCAATCTTGATCTTCCTGTTAGTTGAAATAAAAGTAATTATAAATTTGATTTTTTGTACGAAATACGAGTATAGTTGTAATTTCACGTAAAAACACTACTACAAATAAATAAATAAATATTAAACAACATCACATTCATTGCTCAGGTTCCAAGATGAGAAGCTAAAGCCTCCGTATTATGAAGTATTTGAGACAACAAAGGTACGACAACACCCAGACTCAAGCCAATCGTGAAAAGTGCATTTTCTAAAATGACCCAACCGGGATTCGAACCCGGAACTTAAGGGAAAACACCTTGAAACCGGCGTGCAAATATGCATATTTTTAACGCATCGAAAATCCTATCTCAGAGTACCAGGGACAAAGTGGATTTTTAAGCATTTTCCATTAAGATTATTTTCCAGCATAGCATTGTGCATGCAAGATTTATCAAATAAATTAACATCAAAAGTGTAAAGTAAAATATAAGATTGTATTTAATCTGATTAAGCTAAACCCTTCTCAAAGATGATTTTACTTCAAAAAAGCCTTAAGTTGGTCTAAAACAATTTATAACTTATTTTAAAACAAGTATTAAAATTTGTGTTTTTTGTTGAAACCATTGGTCACCTAAAGAAAATTGACAATGACAGAAAAAAACCTCGTGAGATGTGATTCACTTTGGTCGGAGAAGGATTTAATCCTCTAAAAATAAAAGTTTAGTACAAACTTGGCCCGCGTTTTATAATAAGACGAATGAAGTTTAAAAATCTATCCTGACATACCGCATTGAATTCATCTTGTCGTTGCATATGGTGTTGTATGAACATCACATTGTGGATAGCCTTCTCTAATTCGAAAGGGTATTTCTTGCGGGGAACGACATCGCTCAAGGAGTCATCAAGACCGGACATAACTGATGGAAGACCGTTGTAACCAGCACCGAGACTACCGAGAGCGCCAACTAGGCCGCTGAATCTGTAGACAAATGATAAAGTCAAAGCCCGTGTCAAAATGTCTACTCAAATTTATTTCAAGTATTATTTGTCATAGATGCAGAATTTCATGAGATTTTAGGATGCAGTATATGGCCAATAATATTTAAATCTGCACAATACTATGAGTAAATACAAATTTAGACATAAAAACAACTGATAATTTCGGCGATAATTATTGTTCAATTGTTTATGGCGTAGGAATATAACGAAGACAGAATTTTCTTATCCTCATATTTCAACCAATTTAACACTTTAATACCAAACAAAAATAAAACTTTAATACCAAAATCTTTTTTCATGAATTACTCTCTCATTAGTGACAACCTAATGAAAATTTGTGCAGTAGTTTTTAGTTTATCGTTAATAGACAGGCAGATCCGGCGGTGGACTTTGTTTTATAATATACTAGCAGTTTTTCAGCGACTTCGCCCGCGTTATTTACGGTTTAGCCAATGCTTCCTATAGGTGAAATTATTTTTAAAATCAATCCAGTAGTTTCGGAGTCTATTCAATGCAAACAAACAAAATCTTTTCTCTTGAGAATATTAGTATAGATAGTGATTACAAACACCACACCATGAAAGTAATAAATATTACAAAATAATTTTATTCAGTCATTTGAAAATAAGATTACCTGTTAGTAGCAGTTGTGGAATGCAAACCATTGCATCCACCTGGCATATGATGACGAAGAGAATCAGGGCTTGAAGCGTTCGAATTTGTTTGCTCTGCTGCTGCTAATGCGTCTTTAAACTTATTCTTCTTTAAACTTCTTCCAGCTATCTTTTGTGCAGCAAGATCCCTCAATAGATCTTTAGGGACTCTCATCAGAAGCAATTTAGGCAGTTTAGTTATAAAGAATTTTCTCACCCAAGGAGCCATTTTGTGAGTACTTGGCTTTCGGTAGTGTACATTCAGAATTATTATAGTTATCACAACTGATAATCCTACTAGTAACATGGTAAACAGTAAATACTTTCCTAATAAAGGTAACGCCAGTGACGTAGACGGTATGATTTCCGAAATCAATAAGAAAAACATAGTCTGTGACAACAGTATTGAAATGCTAAGTGCTATCTTTTCTCCAGAGTCTGCGGGCAAATAAAATACTAGAACCGATAAGTATGAGATGCCAACACAGGGGACGATCAGGTTCACTGTATAAAATAACGTCTTTCTTCTGAGAGTTATGTTGAAAAATATATCTGAAACAACACAGAGAACTTTATGAACTATTTAATTTATGATTTACCTGAAAAGTTTTGTAAGCCTCAAGCCAAGGTAAATCATAATAACGTCTGAAAAAAAAATTACAATTTAAAATTAAAATTTTGAGAATTTAAGGTCATTTTATAAGAACATTGTATAGTGGCTCTTATGTGCGTAAGGCTATTTAAAGTAACGTACATAAGAGTATTAAAACGAGATTTTTGATGACAACTTTGGTCGTTTGATATTGAGTATAACAAATGATTAAATTAATGTTTGCTTTCGCAGCAATTAACACGATAAAGACATAGTATGGTAGAGACTACAAATATGTATTTCTTGTAAAATCTCGATATATGTAAAGTTATAACACGTTCCTTTTAGATATTAAGCCTTTTTGTAGTTTTCTGATAGGTATAGAAAAAGTTTTTTATGCGTTGCTGTGGTGATTAAGCTGGGTATCTTAAGATCAATATAGAAGAAAGCTTTGTGAAGTTCCATAAGCAGTGGATCAAAAGAAATATATGCTGTAAATATACATATATACAGTACAAAGGTTTAAATAAACTAAAAAACTGTGGATCAAATGTTTGTCACATTTTATATTGACAATTCATATTTATTTTGGTGGTAAAAATATAAATGTGTCCTACTAGAGAAGTAAATTTCAATTCAGCCACTAATGCTTTCAGAATATATTTGCGTGCTAATAGATAATATTGGTATGTCGGAAGTAAAGAAAAAATAAATATTAACCTGAAATATCTTGAGATAACGAACATAACCATTATAAGTGTTGTTTGTGGATTTAATATTCGGAATGCGAAGTGTCAACAAAGAGGTGAGGGCAATAAAATTAATAGGACTTTAGTAAGCAATATTTCAGTACCGGACAGCTTGTTTAGTATCGTATGCAGTCTTTAGTTGGCACTTCTTTTATTATATTTTCTCGCTAATTATATTTTCCTATTTATATAATTATTGAAAAAAATGTTTACCTTATTTCGTAACATCAATATCATCTCATTTTCACTTCCCCTTCAAACACAGATAAGAACGAATGGGACTTGTATACTGAAGATTACGGACAAATATTTAATTTTAAAATATATATATATATATTAGGGTGGTCCTTATTCTTAAGAAAAAAAAATTTTTTCTTTAATTTCGCGGGCCACCATGTAATTTTAATATATACCATGAGAAAGTGAATCAGTATCTTTTTTGATTTTTTTTAATGACATTTAGGGGTCGCTACCAAGGATTGAATCTCAAATAAAAACACAAAATCTGTATTTTTCAAATTCTTATATTTTTATAATCAGGACACAAAAATATTACTTAATTATTGCTGTTCTTATGAATTAACATATTTAGATCATTTATTTTAAAGATATAAGGGTTGACTTGTTAGTATTAGGATATTTTTTCCTATAATCTTTTACCAACAAAAGCAAATATTACTTTTGTTCTTCATTAGTTGTAATTAATTTATTAAATTCTTCCATTAAAGGAACACCGCGCTCAGCTAAATCGTTGACTACTCGCAAAGAATGAACAATATTTTTGGCAACTACATAATCTGAGTCTTCGTTCCAAGTTTCAACGTCTTTTTCCAAAAAACTTGATGATATACCTAGGATCTGGAAGAATCTTAAGGAATTACTACTCACGAAATTTTCTACATTTTTTTCATGGATATGTGTGATATCAAGGCTTATTCTTTTTAAGCAATCTTCTGTGCCTTCAATTCCCAGTGCTTTTACCATTTTTTTCTTCTGTTCAACTGAAAGTTCGTCATCGAAAAAGGCAAGTGAAACTAGCTCTTCCGACAAGTACCACAAATGATTTAGAATCTTTTTTAGCGCAACAGCAGCAATATTTTTGTTGAAGATTTCGAAGGCCTTAAGGTCTTTCAATAATTGTAGGTCGTTTCTTGGTGCTGACCATCCGCTAGGAGCTTGAAACCAATATTTAACATAAATTACCACTGTGAAAATGCATATTTCTCTTACAGCCTTTTCGTCTTTTTTTGTAAGCTTGAACTAATGTTTGAATAAATAAATCTTCAAACAGTATAAGGCTCTTGCCATCCACCTAGCTCGATGTACACCAGCAGACCTCCTAAATGCAAACCTTTTTCAGGAATACCTCTTAAGAAAATGGTCGTGAGATTCAACAGTTCTCTGTAGTCATCTCGAGGTTGATGTATTTGTTGTTGCTTTTTGGCAAAAAAAATCATGTCTGCGGCCACTTCTGCAGGAATATTTATCTCAGAGTCATCTGTTATTGTTTTGAAGTCGCTTTTGTCAATAGTGTTCCAATTGTTCTTAAATCTTTTAAATAATTGTATATCAGGACCACTACATGGGGCCAGCAATTGATCCACTACAGCTGACAACATAATCTCCATTATGTGGTGACGACAAGCAAGCCAAAGCATATTTTTATTCATGTTTCGTTCCAAAAGAACGCATACTCCACTTCTTAAGCTCGTATTTACAGCAGTAGTGTCAAAACACAAACATTTAACTTTATCACTCAAATTCCATGAATTTATAACTTCGTAGATAGCTGACGCACATGCTTCACTCGTTCCACGTTGCAATTTTGGAACTGCGAGTAGTTGATCAACTCCATGTCCTGATACCAAAATTGCCAGTCGATCTACAGTTTCGTGTCCAGTAATATCTTCTATCAGTTTACCGTCCCAATGGATTGTTAATGATGAATTATGTTTAAACTCGCTTTTGAGAGACTCTGCAACAGCTTTGCGATTTTTCACACGCTGCCGACGAATAGAAGATCTATTGACATTGAATTCTGATGGATCATAGCCTGCACTTTTTAAAGTAGCCGTCACAACCATAGTTGCTCGCCTGTCACTCAATTTAGAGACATCAAGAGTGGACTAAGTGGCTGTTTTGTCGTACTGCTATTAAAAACTGCTTGTCTTCTTCTGAAGTCATAATATTTAAAGCATCACAACGTCAAATAAACCTTCTAATTTTTGTTGCCAGTTTTGTTCTTTTATCTTCAATGTTTCTGAACGTTTTTTCTTGTTTTCTTTATTTTTTTTTTTAGATTTTGCCATTCTTTAAATAGTTTTTCAATTTTATTGATGATATGTTTTTTTAATTGAATTGGCATACTAGTTTTTTCCCACAAATTTATAACTGTACAAGCCGTCAAAGTCGCAGATTCACGTACACTTTTCTTTGCTTCATTTTTGTAATGAAAAAAGTACCGCAAAACTTCACGGATGGATGGCAACGTTGATTGGCTTAATTCTGATAATAATTGACCGATAAGCCAAACTTTACTTCGATTTCTAGTAGCTTTACTGAGTCCGCTACTTGTAGACGACATTGTTATAGTTGAAAAACGTCACTATAACTCAAAGCGCGTGCGCACACGTTGATGACTTATTTAAACTGAAGTGCGGGGCGGGCTAGATCTCGACGCGTCGGTACAGAAGAGCCCTCTAGGGGCGGAGGGGATAGACAGCGATTGTCTATGCAAGTTTCACTTGTTCGCAAAATGTGATTTAAACACCTAAATGAAACATTACTGTAACTATTATTTAGACTGTTATTCGATGCTTTTTGTATAAAGTTTGACAGCTGGTAGCGACCTCTAAATCTTAACAAAAAAATTGAATAAAAAAACTCACTTCATATTTAAGGGTATATATTCGAATGAGAAAGTGCCCTGGGGAAAATTCAAAAGTCAAAAAATAAGGACCACCCTAATATATATATATATATATATTACTTCTTGTAAGTTTTCTTTATTAGCTAGCTATACCTCAAAACTTTTTGATCACAATAGAAGAAAATATTATTTTGTATTTTGGGTCACAGATTCATATGGGCGGACCAAATTTCAACTGGACTGGCCCAGTAGTGTCAGAGTAAATCAGCTGTAACAGACGGAGGTGCCAATTGATCACAGACGAATGGTCTCAGATAAGTTCCACCTTTTCTTTTAAGGCTGCACAACTTGTTACGATCTAACCGCAGTTTAATACCAACTTTTAGTAACAGCGTAGACATAATTTGCAAATTGATATATGCATAGGATTATAGACTTTAGTAGCTTTGAGCTTCGCCCTCACATCTCGGAGGTATAACAGTTTGATCATGATTAAGCACGATTCCAACGAACAAATTGTTTCTTACTAGAAGGGCAACGCTTAGGGTGTTACATATGCGAGGTTGGGGCTTCGTCGTAACCTCGAGACTATTTCATTGAGATAAACGGCTCGCTAGAACGATACAATAAATTTCCTTGGTAAAGTAAAAAACAACCTTTTAAAGATTTTTGCGGTTTTAAAAGTTTTGCGCTAATGTTTTAAAAGCCTACAAGAGTACCTTGAGATCTGAGCAAAATATGTGATATTGTCAAATATTTAGCTATCCTACTATAAAGAGGAAAATGACTGGACCAATATAAAAACTTCTTTCGCCTACTTAATTTTTGATGGGAATTGTCAATTTTTGTATATTTATCTCTATTCGTCTTATTGACTGACACACAAATACGTCTCGTTTACTCTTTATTTAAATATTTCCCTTAAAGTTTCATAAAAGTTTGAAAAATATTTATTGTTCTTATATAACAAGAAATTGCCTGTACAGGTAAAGCTAAATGTTGTTATAGCAGTACAAAGTTCCCGAAAACTGAACTCGTATAAAAAGAAAATAACATAATCCTAGTGAAAAAGTTATAAATTAGGTTTCGAGAGTGATGGATGTTAGCTTTACTGATGTAATATTAACTGGGTAATTTATCTTATAGAAAAATTATTAAAAAATTTGACAGTTCCAGGTGCCCGAGATAGGTTTAGAATCCATAACCTCTCGTAATCCTGGCGACTGTTCAAAGTGATTGCATAACATAATTAATAGATTTCTCGAACATTCATGAAATGCGCTCACTAGCGGGGAGAGTAATATTTGCTTCTGAAATTTCTGTTTCTCTTAGAAATTGAATC